CATTGTGTACAGAGTGAACATCCATATTCTTATATGTACGCTGAATGTTCGTGAAACAAGTGACGATTGGCAAACAGGTATCTTGAACATTTCTTGGACTTCTCGAGGTTTCTGTGGGGGCTGTCCCTGAGATCTCGAGAATTGCATTGTGACAATGTCAGTGTTTGTTTACGATGCAGTGGATCTATGTAAGTACAGCACGAAAAAATATATGTAATGTTTTCATGGAAACGCATGAGCAGTGGACAAAAAATACTATTCGGGCCGATCCTGACATGCCGCCATTTTTAAGTCGGGACCTTATATGCAAATGAATAACATGTGGTTTGATGATTTGATGTGTTCATTGTAAGCTTCACTGTTGACACGTTCAGCCTTCAGTTTGCAGGACTCTGCGACAGTGGTTCTTTGCCATGTCAAACTCATGAGTGGCATTCTCAGTTTGGAACGCAGCGAACAAATCCTTTGCAGTGGATTGTGCAACTCTGCACCGACAAGCATAGTTTACCTCTTTACCTCTTTCCTTGGCTCAGATGTGAACGTAGAGACAAGATGCTTCTTTTGTATCTCAAAGGTCTTTGTGTGGAAATGCGTCTGACCTCTCTCTCTCTCTCTCTTTATCTCTTCCCCCTCTTTCTCTCTGTGGTTGCAAGACACATGTCATCTGATGCCCTTTACCAAATATTCTCTTCTTGATCAATCTTACTTTTTTTACATCATGTCTTTCCATAGCTCATATAAAATTCACCAATAAAGTTCACCAACTATTCACCGACTATCTTTTACGACTACCATACTCAGAGCTGCTTGAAACACATCTTTTTCGCTCTCGGGCCAACCGTCGTCTAGTTAATTGCCGAGATCCCAACCTGGTTGATTTTGTTGTTGGGTGAATAGCCCTGTTGTTCCCTTGGCTAAATCCCAAGTGCCTGATTTGCTTTGAGAAATACTCAGTGTTTTTCTTGGCCAATTTTGTACAAGTGGGTGATTTTTTGTTGAGCAAAGTTTGGAACAAATAGGTCTGTTTGGAAATGGGGATACCCCCCAAATCGCCATGTAAACGGGAAAGGATGATCAATGATGAACCATCAAATTCGGGGGCACCCTATTTTCAACAAAAAAAATCCGAAATATTCCGAAATCAACCGCATTGCCAAATGCCCTGAACATTTTCCTAGTCAAACTTGGCATGTCATGGTATTTCCCCAAGTGGAGTTGCACCCCAAAATGCCACCCTAAATAGCTGGATTCCAGCTGGATGGTTTATTTATGGTTAAAAATCCCAAAAAGTGGAGGCTCCTGGGGCGGTTTCCCCATGACTTTGGAAACCGCCCAGGTCAAAGTGGCCCAAAGGGCCCCAGGTCGTGGAGGCTCCTCGGCGAGTCGTGGACTTCGTGGAGGGATATCTCGGCGCCTCGGTGGCCTCGGTTCAGAGCAGTGGCGGTGAATGAGCCAGATGATATCACTGGAATGAATCCAAGGCCATTTGGGATGATATCTGGGATATATCCAAGTATTATATCTGGAATATATCCAAGTATGATAATTACCCAGATAATATCTGGTTGGTGATATCATTTGGGATGAATGTATCACTAGAATATATCCAAGTATGATACCCAGATAATATTTGGTTGGTGATATCATTTGGGATGAATGTATCACTAGAATATATCCAAGTATGATACCCAGATAATATCTGGTTGGTGATATCATTTGGGATGAATGTATCACTAGAATATATCCAAGTATGATACCCAGATAATATCTGGTTGGTGATATCATTTGGGATGAATGTATCACTAGAATATATCCAAGTATGATACCCAGATAATATCTGGTTGATGATATCATTTGGGATGAATGTATCACTAGAATATATCCAAGTATGATACCCAGATAATATCTGGTTGGTGATATGATTTGGGATGAATGTATGTATCACTAGAATATATCCAAGTATGATACCCAGATAATATCTGGTTGGTGATATCATTTGGGATGAATGTATCACTAGAATATATCCAAGTATGATACCCAGATAATATCTGGTTGGTGATATCATTTGGGATGAATGTATCACTAGAATATATCCAAGTATGATACCCAGATAATATCTGGTTGGTGATATCATTTGGGATGAATGTATCACTAGAATATATCCAAGTATGATACCCAGATAATATCTGGTTGGTGATATCATGTGGGATGAATGTATCACCAGAATATATCCAAGTATGATACCCAGATAATATCTGGTTGGTGGTTTCAAACATGAATTTTATTTTCCATTTCATGTATTGAATATATGGGATAATCCTTCCTATTGACTTTCATATTTTTCAAAGGGGTTCAAACCACCAACCAGATATAATAGTCACCCATTGGACTAATATATGGTAACAGCATGTAACATAATAGTATATGATGGTAACTGATAGATATTATGGTTCACTATTTACCATATTAAGTACATATGATGATATCACCCATTGCTGTGTGATACTGTGTATATGTATATTATATGAATTATATGTACCTATAAGATATATGTGAATGTATGTATCCGTGGTGGTTGCAGATTTTGTTCGTTCACATTCCGTTTTTGGAAGTGGTGCGGTCATTTTTGGATAGGCTGGTGGAGAATGTCTGAGGCCATGGTTGGTCTCGCCATAGATAGCTCACACTGCTGGTCCAAACAGGTTTTTCATAATACCCTGGTACCCCATAGTTCACACCAAAAATAGGTGTTGTTTCTGGATGTTCGTTCCCCTAAATATGATATTTTTTTTGATATAGGTTTTGATATTTTAGGCTATCCCCCCTAGATTTGGCTTGCGGTCAACAAACATAGATGGTAAAAATGGTAAGAATGGATGTTCATCACTCCGTTCACTTTGGGAGAATCATCTGTTTTGTGATGTTTGACCGATCCACACTTGGTCCCTTAGCTGATTGCAGCTGAATCCTAATCCAGACCAAGTGATATGAGCCCTGTAAACAAGTTCTCCCTGGTGTCTGCCTTGTAGCGGATCTGGTCATATCTATGTATATCGGTATGCGTCAAGATCATTGTCTGACCGTAGAGTACCACCCGGAAAAATGGAAAAGTAAATTCCTACTAAAATTATCTAAATCAATGATAATTTAAATAATTTACGTTTCTATCCTTTTTTGTTACTATATGTAACCTGGAAATAGACGAAGGAATACCATTCCCTTG